AGGCATCACGCCCCTCGGAGGAGGAGGAGGAGGGGGGACCCCACAGCCCCTGCGGGGAGGATGGCGATTTCCAGGGCGAAGGGATGGATGCGCGAGAAGGGGAGTCCCTGCAAAGGGAAGTCGAAGCTACTCGTGCTGTCCCCATGGAAAGCCACCCGGTTTTGCCCACGGAAAGTCACCTGGAAGAGGATCTTGTTGATGGAGAGCAGGAAAAGTCTGAGCATTGGGAAATGCCCATGTGCAAGATGGATCTGGCTGCAGAGGAGGAAAGGGAGCAGGAGACGTGCCCAGGGCAGGACACGTGCCTGGAGCAGGAGCCCTCGAGCATCCATGAGGCCATCCCAGCAGAAGAGCCTTCATCGGGGGCTGAAGAAGATGCCGTGGAAAGGGAGGACCCAGGCAGAGCAAAAGGTGGTGAGGGAGAAAAGGGAGAGGCTGGCAGGGAGGCACTGGGAGGCGAAGACCCCCGGGCAGGAGAGGCTGTGGGACTTGAAGCCCCAGGGCAGGAGAGCAGAGCCCAGGAGGAGCCTGGGGACCTGCAGGAAAATGGCTTTGCGGGAGAGGTGCTGGAGCAGGAGGAGCTGGAGCCGGAGCTGGGAGAGGAGCCCTGGGGTGGGAGGGATGATGGCAACAGCCAAAAGCCCCATCCAGAGGACTGGGAGGTGACAGCAGAGGACACAGAGTGGGCTCTGGGGACAGAAAGGCCAGCCTGGGCAGATGACACCCCAACAAGCACAGGAGGGCTGGGAAGTGAGGAGAGAGACAGCATGTCGCCAGCAGAACTGGAGGAAACCCGGGAATATGATGAAGATGTCGAGAGCCAGGGGATGAGCCAGCAGCAGCCACCGCCGGAGGCTGAGCCGGCCCCGGGGCTGGTGAGGGATGAGCAGGAGGGCACCGCGGGGCAGCCAGCCCAGGCACCCGCAGATGCCCCCGGGCAAGGGGACAGCCAGGAGCCAGCCGAGGCTCCGGAGGAACCATGGGAGATGCAGGATGAGGATGCCAATGATGAGCTCGGCTCGGACCCGGGACAGCCGGAGAGCAGCAGCACCGGCCCTGCGGCACTTCAGCAGGCGCCGGGTGACGGTGCGGAGGGCAGTGAGTCGGCGGAGGAGGATGCTGGGCGATCGGGAAAGCTGGAGCAGGCACCGGGGACGGGCAGGAGGGTGGAGCTGGAGGACACACTGCCGGGCAGCACACCCTTGCACCTCTACGAAGGGGAGATGCTGACTGTGGTCGCACCCAGCCAAAACTCTCCGGAGATTGAGGAGACCATGGAGACAGACCCCGCATTTGAAAAAGCTCCAGAGGATGAAGGATGGCTGGAAGGGAAGGACAAGCCACCAACTCCCACCATGCCAGAGAGCCGCGAAGAGGAGGCAGGGACAGAGGTAGCGCCTGCGGCAGAGGGTGCCGAGGAGGAGGAAGGTTATTTCATGGTCTCTGCTCCCAACCAAGAGGTGTCCAGCTCAGAGGAAGCCGAGATCTCCGAGGACTTTGAAGAAATTAAAGTTGAAGCAACCGAAGCCATCAAAGATGATCTGGAAGCTCCTGGAGAAGCGTCTCCAGTGCCAGAGGACGAAGGGCACTTTGAGGCGTTTGTTGGTGAAGCAGATGAAGACATGAAGATGCCCACAGAAGAACTTGAGATGCGAAAGGATGAGGATGAGAATGAGGATGATGCTGAGGGTTTTACTGCTGAGCTGGAGGAAGGTCCGGCTGTGCCCGAGGCAGATCCCGCCTTCCCCGGGGCCAAGGGGCCATTAGCAGGAGGTGCTGACGAGCCAGCCCAGGATGCCGAAGTCTCCGGTGCGCATGAGGGACCAGGGCGCTCGGAGGGCTTGGCCGCCAAATTGGTTGAGGAGCTCGACAGCATGGTGGAGCCAGAGAGCGATGCCGGCAGAGCCGAAACACTCCCAGGCTGCAACCTGGGGCTGGTGGGGCAGGAGGAGGAGGAGGACGACGACGACGAGCCCAGCACGGCTCACCATGACACGGCCGAGCCCATCCCTCCGGCAGGGCTCCAGGCCCAGGTGATGCCGGTTTCTTCGCTGCCTGACCAAGTGGAGCAGACATCGGATGAGCAGCCATCTGCGGAGGAGGAAGCACTGGACAGTGACAGCCCTCCCTTGGCTGGGGACGAGGAGCCCCCCGAGGCCGACCCACCTCGGCCGGGCTCTGTGCCGGAGCAGGGAGGTTTTCCAGAGATGATTAAAGAAAGCGCAGAGGCAGCTGATCTCTCTGCAAAGGTGCCGGCGGACGTCATGAAAGACTCAGATATTTTGGAAATAGTGGAGCAAGCCCTGGAGTTCAACCAGGAGCTGATGATGGGGACGAGGGCAGCCGAGGGCGGGCAGAGGGATCCTGGCGGGACCGAGCTACCCCGGGACACCGAGGAAGACTCCTCGCCTGAGCCGACGGTGCAGGAGGCACCAGCGGATGCAGCACCGGGGATAGAGGGTCCGGTGCGGGCTGAGAACGGGCTGCACCGGGAGGCCAGCCTGGAGGACCTGGCTGAATTCATCGAGGAGGTACCAAACGGCATCGCCGGCATGCTGCCGGCACAGGAGTTCCCCACGGAGACCGCAGACCCCACCGCGGCAATGCCACTGCAGCCCCCTGCTCCCGGAGATGCCACC